TAAAAGTAGGGGAGATTTTTTTTTTTTTTTTTTTTTTTTTGGTACCAGGGTTTGAACTCAAGTCCTTGCGCTTGCAAGGCAGGCCACCGAACTGCTGAAAGGGAGAATATTTTGAAAGGGATTGATAACAATATTTTAGTGTAATAAATTTTGAAAAAGTGAACATTTATATTTTTATCATATCTCGTACATCATAAAAAGAAAAACATTGATTTTTACAAATATATCCTGAATTTTTACTCAGGCTGAAAAGGAAACTATACAAGTCTCCAATTTATTAATTCATTTTTATATATCAGTTCATATTTGCAGCACATAATGGCCACATACAAGATGGGGAGTTGATATACGTATAAAACACATCTGAATTCTTTTTTCATCTCCTTCCCCGATCCCTTTATCTCTTGGTTCCCTTCCTTTTTGCAAAAGTTCTATCTCCCTCTTTCCTATTAACTGTCTTTTATTTTATATATATATTAGGTTTCTCATACAAGAAACTATATGATATATAAGCTTGTGTGTCTGATTTATTTCACTTAACATAGTCTCAAGTGCACCCATTTTCCTACAAATAAGTTATTCATTGTATTGCTGTCACATTTTATGCATTCCAATTTATTCATTTAGAATTCTTACAATCTTTTCAGGAAAGCCAAATACATGAAAGTGTTTAGATCAATAATTGGTTTTATTTTCATTTTAGGCAAATCATTTATATTCCCCAAGCCTAGGCTGATTGGTGGTACGTCTGTTCTAATTTAGATGGTCTGTGGAAGTAAATTTCTAAATTTCATGTTGTCATGTCTAACTAGTTTTGAGAAGTTTCATGTTGTCATTATCTGCCTAGTTTTGAGAAGTATTAGCCATGTGAACACATTTTTCCTGAAGTAACATTTATGAAATATTTCAGTTGAATGAAGAGATAAAAGTATCTTGAATTCATATTGACATTTACAATACTGTTATTTTGTAATACTTTTAGTGCATACACCTATAATAAAATACATAAAAATTCACCTGTGCAGTTTAAGAAGCATCACTATACTTAGAGGTTAGCTTTAGTTATCAAGTGGACAGCAGATGAATTGTGGAATTTTCTCCCATGTTACCTAATATTTTTCTTCTTTTGTTTTAGCATGCTTCCTGGGCTGTTACAGTCAATGGACTTATCAACACTGAAATGTTATCCTCCTGGCCAGCCAGAAAATTTTTCTGCATTTTTGGATAAAGTTGTTGGATTACAAAAATAAACATTAAACTCTCAACACTTTAAAAAACACCCCCAAATCTAATCTTTGGAACGTGATTAAGTCAAATTAAATACATAATCTATATTTATAGAATAATATAAATAAGTTTCCTACATCTGTAGAATGTATGGGAAATTTTATGGTGTGAACATTGCATTAGGTCCAAATCCTAATTGAAATTTAGTAAATATACTAGATTTTCCTAATCTTCAGTATGTAATATGGATTCAGAGGTTTGGTCCTAGAATCCCATATGGATTTGGCTTTGTGAAAAAATGAAACGTGAAAACATTAGTTAAAATCATAAATATAGTTTGATGTTCCTTAGTGTAGAAACTGAAACAGTAAAAACTTCAAAAATTTTTTGTGTGAGAACTAGCATCTTTAGCTTCATAATACAAGGAACTAATTTTTTTAAAGAAAGCATAAATGATGGGTTGTGCTCTGAAATAAAAAAGGTCAGTAACTGCCTTATAATGATGATCCAGTTTAGTTGATTTATTGTACTTGGAGAAACTTTATCCTGAGGAGTAGAGTGAAGTGGATATGTTCACTTTTCCCTCTAAAATACAGTGACAAAGTCTTGCCCAGTATCAAAGCTTTAGGAAACCGAGAAGAATAAATAAAAAAGGACTTACACATTAACCTTTAAAGATAGCTTCTCACAATGATAATGAAACATTTACTGTAACAAAATTTGACGATATGTGTGCTTATAATAGTTTTACAAATGAATAATAAATGATGTATATGATATGTATGATTTTAGAGTTCATATGATGAGATAGGTACATTGTGGAATTCTTTCTAATTAGAATATGTAGTCTTAAGATTTTCAACGTAGATTCATAGTTTTCTAATAAAAGTTTAGATATACTTTGTCCATGAAAATAGAACATTTGCTATACAGATCTACTTTCAGTTATCCCAAAATGTTAAATGTTTCAAACATTTTACTTGGGATGCATTATGTAATGATTTTGTAGATTTATTTTCCTGGTTGTGTTTTACTTAGGCTTCTATTAAGATAAATTCTTTACTAATGGTAGAAGGTGGTGGCTGAGAAGTACTCTGGGTAGCAGGAAAAAGCCAACTTGGATTAAAAATTTGCTGAGAGTAATCTAAAAAGTGAGTAATCCACCTCTGCGTAGTTGAGAATTCAATACACCATAATCATAATTGTATATTAATGTTATGTTTTATAAAAGATC